CAATGGCTGACATCTACCATAAAAACGAAAGGGTAGGAGAGGACTGATTGCATGGCTTGCAATTGGACATATGTTCATATGGACATTCTATCTTATTTTGGTGTGAGGAATCCACATCAAATTTTGCAAATTTATTTTGATACGATCTGCATGTACATGGCCTAGTGGTTAGAACGTTCGTTTTCTGACCATGAGACCCGGGTTCGAATCTCACTATGGTTGATTTGTCAAGAATAAACTTCCTGACGTTATCAGTCTGCGGGGGAGGAATCCAGCGTGCGGCACCTTTGGAAAGTGCATGTAAACGATACCACGGCTTGAGCTAAGAATTGTGAGTGAAAATGAGTAGACGGAACACATGGAGAGCGTTGATAGCTGTGCTAGCACGAAGACACAAGTCATCATGACCGAGGTTTTGAGTGTGCTGTTGTTGGTCGGAGGGTTGATCATGATAGATAAAATGCTCTCTCCCAGAAACTGTAACTAAGATCTGCTCAACTTAGTTGTCGCATAAACCACAGGTAGGCACTGTGGGTGTTGAACAAACACAAATCTTTCTGAGCGAGCGTCTGCAATAGAGAGTGGCTAGCCACCCTAGTAGACGGGTATCCACGAATGGAGTGGCCACTTATATATATATATATATATATATATATATACACGTTTCATTGAAGACGACTGAAAAGGTATTTTCTTTTCTGGTTGAAAGAACTGTCTGAATGTTCTGAATTTACGAGATCTTTGCTATATTTTTTTAGACATTATCAAGTATTATTTTTATTTTTAATTGAATGTATAGATTTTGTGTCTCCTCATTAATTAAACATGCATAAAAGATATACTGCTGCTGAACTACACAGTTATATATATATATATATATATATATATATATATATATATATATATATATATAAATTTATTTCTGGAGTTCACTGCTACTAAAAAGCAGAATTTTTTCCTCCTGATGATAGCCATGTTGGCCTAAACTAGATGAGGAATCTGAGATATTAAAATCGAAAGAATATTAATATACAACCCAGTGTGTTAAAAGATTTAACTTTTTTTACACACAAGCATATATATATATATATATATATATATATATATATATATATATAACAAACACACACACATATATATATATAGATAGATAGAGAGAGAGAGCGAGATATGCACTATTACTTACAGACGCATAAGAAGAAATAAGCATACAGGATTATCTGCGCAATTTAAACAAGTCAGAGAAAATTACAAAATTAAGTAGCTCTAACGTATTTATTGGAAGACATAATTAATCAAATACAGTTTTATTTAAACAGATAAGAACATTTCTATATTGTCTCACTTCGTTACATTCAACAAACGAAGACGCGATCTCAATTTCTGTTTTCTACTAGATACTTCCTACTCTATTGACGTTGATGCTAATACGACTTTGTGTTTTTTACATACATTGGACTGTAATTCCACTGAACCTGTGTATCAGGTTTGGCGTCTCTGAATTAGAATACACATTGCGCTTTCTCTTGAAGTATTATCCTTTTCGTTAAAACTCCGGGATCAATAATAAACACTTTTGACTTCTACATTAAAACAAAAACTAAAGTGAAAATAAAAACAAATGATCAAATTCTATATAAATTTGTACCTCAACAATATTTCTTTAACACGCAAAGAAATATTTACACCATTTACACCCTTCGCACCATTGTTCCCATATTTATTGCCAATACCTGGCTAAAGCAGAAGGAACAAACATTTGCAGAGTTGGGATACTAAAGGGAATTAATTGAAGCTGAAAAAGAAAAAAAAAAATGCATGTCACTTGGGATTGGAACAATCAACCCCGTGGACTAAATAAAGGATTTGGTTTGAAATTCTAACGTATATCACCTGAAGAAAGCCGGAGCTTACAACGTCCGAAACGTCGTGGATTTGGCAATAAAATTGGGACAACAATACAAACGATGTAAATAGTTACATTACCTCATCTCATAAATATAGACAGATACAAAGAAATGTATTGACGGTTCTTAATTCTAATGGACGCAATAAACTGTGGAATTTGTAGCGATAATTTCTGGACATCTGGTATATATTTAGAAATCTACTTGAACCTGAAACGAATTGATGTGCCTGTGTTTTTCTAGAAAGTTTTTTTTGACATCTAAAGGAAATAATAAAGATATATTTATGCATGAAATGGCATTAAATATTATGAAATATTACAAATAAGTTTCAGTGCAAAACAGTGGAAAGAACATTGCAAAAGGAAAGGAATCAGTAAAATGACGCAAACATTATAGATTTCGCATTGACTTGGAGACAGGCGATGCGTATTAGACTATATATTTATTTTAATAAAAATATATGAAATCAATATAATCCGAGATATAGAAATATAAATGGAATGTTCATGTGTTTAAAATTTATTATTTTGTTGAATACAATATTTATAGGTAATTTTAAAATATGCCTGTATTTACATGCCGATTATCTCCATTTGTGTGTTGTCAAATTCACCTGAAAAGGTATATTTCAATTTGTATTGCGTTTTTCCTATATTCTGATCACAGATCTGTTGTGATCAGAATTGTGAAAGAACATTCCTGGGTATTTGTTCTGTTTATTCAAGTATTTTCGACCGTTTCAGTCATTGCTAAGAACCTGGTGTTTTCAGTGTAGCAGAGAAGACTATTGCATGCTCGTATTTTCACTGGAATTTGAACCAGTCCAAAGTACCGCCATGTGTAACGGTTAAACCGAACTAGACTCCACTCCAAGCTCAGGCACCAAATATTTATACATATTCTTATTATTTTGAACGCATATTTTGTACACACTTCGTGATAATATCTCCTTTGAAAGGTATTTAATGTGCGTTGTTTAATTTTCAAAATAAAGGCTTCTGGGTTTTTGTAGTTTTACTTACATTGGGTGGTAAAATGTATTTGAATATTTTCTATTCAAATTTTCCTTATGCCCATAGAGTCATTTTGCTTGCTTGCGATACGATCTTTATGTGCATAAATTGCACAACCTTTGGAAAAGTGAAAAAACAACTGATTAGATAATAAAATGCTACATGTGTGGTCAACTTTTTAAAGTTATGGGCAGAGACTGAAGTAATATTGATAACCAAAATTTTGTTGTCTCTAACTTTCTCGACTTTAGCAGGAAAATTGTCAGAAATTGATTTTAAGCTAATTGCTTAAGAATTGTGATTAAATCATTATTTAATTTATAATTATGACTGTTTTATATTTTTACTTGGGATTATAAAGTAATTCCACTATAATGATAATTAAATGTTGATCTGGAAAATATTCTGGTAATGTAGTTATTATAATCTCCTTATATGAATGTTCACCAGAACGAAAGAATACTTCAGTTCGCTGTTGGTGAAATTGGTGCAATTGATTCTAACAAATGTAATCCATTGTCATTCACTAATAATCAATTACAAAACTCAAATAATAGGGGTTAATCTTTGAAAAGTGATATCTCAATTAGAAATGTTTAGCTAGAATTAATATTTGAAATCATCAACTGAGAATATCTGATTGGAAATTGGCTTAGAGTGTTAGAAAGAAATGTCTTTTATAGTAGAGTGGAATAATTAAATATAAATCCATACGTTTGTGATTTTGGTCTTTTCTTGAAAGAATTACTTGATTCTCGAGACAATTTTATTAAATGTTGTATTTTAATTTCGTTTTATGGTTGCTCAAATTGCCGCGAATATATATCTATATATTTATTTGATGTGATAAATTTAAAATAAAATAATAACTTTTTCTAATAAAACAAGTGATAAAATATAATTGCAGTTCTGCGACACTGCTCAAATTACCATTAAATTTTTAAATTATTCTATTTATAATCTGCACTTATCTTTATATATATCCTAAATCTGTCGAATGTCAGAAAAATGATAAAATATTTTAACAGAATATCTATTAATGTGGAGTTGGTCATTTTTTTTTAAGTTATTTACTAATAGCATTATTACAACTACCAATATTATCAATCAGTATTTTTAGCAAAATGATTTACGTAACAAAACGTTTTTTCTAAATGAGCTTAGGATAAATGTTTGGAAACGTTTCTCGCAAATGTGTCAGATTTATATATCCATCGTTATTCAATTTTATTCATCTGCAAACAGGGTACTGCAGTCCAGGGAGACTATAGTGCATCCACACTTATTAACAAAATAAATAAACAATTTTACTTTAAAAATCAGAGATTTTAGAACAAATATTTTATTCTTAAATTCCAAAGCAGTTCCATGGAATTTTCACATAACATATTTTATTGTTTTCATTACTAAGTTTTATAACGGAACGGCCGTAGTAACTAGATACTGACTGCACTCTGTTTAACTAAGATCCGGTGTGTTATCCAGATAGTTTTGAAATCACAATATTAAAAATATTCAATAAATATCGATCTGTGGCAAATATTTACATAATTGCAAAGAAATTACTCATGCCTGTAATTTCTATATGGGGGAATAATTTATCCGGTGGTTAGTTTGATTTCTTTTAAAATGCAATAATTAAATGATTAAAAATAATTCAATATTGTACATTAAAAAAAAAAAAAAAAAAAAAAAAAACTGATTGCGTGTAGTGAAGAACGAAAAAAGGTAATTTGTCTTGTATAATACTCGCATTTAAGAAATTACGAAAAAAGCATTTTAGAATTTGTTGCAGAAAAAAAATTACTTAAGTTTAAAATGTGTAGATTTTTTATCCGGTTTCTATCTATGAAAATAATAATATATATTTTGCAATATGTATCGAAACACGATATTTTCATAGAAAATAAACGCACGTACATGTTTAAAGAAAAATGTGTAAGAATTTCTCGCCAACATTTCCCATTCAACAAACTGAGCTTCCCTTTATATGGGAGAATATTTCCGAAAGAATCCTGACAAAGAAATTCCAGCTTACAGACGTAGTGGACGGTAGTGAATATGATCTCACTTTGAGCAAGAAGGGGAGGATGATTCTGTGGCTGATACCATCGAAAATGACGAGGGCAACTACAAAGCTGACATCATAGACAAAACTTTCTTTGACTCGAACAGTTATGAAACAAACTTCTTCTTCTTCTTCTTCTCAGACTGTGGAAATCAATTTTTGGACGAAGCCCTCTCGCAGATGTTTTCAATTTGTCGTTCATGCGGTTTGTAGGGACTTACAGTAATTGCTATACTCAAGCGTTAAAGAAGACTAAAATATAATTTTTTTTAAATATGTTCATATATCTTCTTTTTTTTTGTCAATGAATGCGGGGTTTGCTAAGTGATTTAATTTTTTTTCTTATGCATATTAATTGATAAATCTTTGTGACTATGCCGACGCAACAAGCGTGAAGCTGTTAATATATATTTGATATGTATATTACGCACACTTATGTTTTAGGCTTCCATTTTCGGAAAGGGCTGTATTGCCTACAAATAAATAGCGTTCAAAAAAGTTTCATATCAACGCTTACATGTAGATAGAGAATATCATTAAAAAACAAGTAAGAAAATATATAATCTACTTTATTTCCTCAGCTGTGAAATTCTCATCCCCTACTCATTTAACAAGAAATTAGCGGGTAAAAATTAAAAATAAAAGGTAAAAGGAAAAAAAACAACATATATTCATCAATAAGAATATTACATAAAAATGAAGCCGAAAAAATAATTCTAGTGGTAGAATTAGAATGATTCATTTACAAAGGTTATATCATTGCAAACAAGCTTATAAGAAAATACACACCAATAATGGTAAAGTAAAGAGAGATAGATTTTTAAACTAAATAAATAAAAAGAAAATCAACAATACAAGCAATGCTTAAAAAAAATTAAGATCAAATACGAAACTTAAGATGGAGTGTTCTTAAAGTAGAGCAATTTCATAAATTTTGTTTTATTTAAAAAACGAATAATTTTAATCGAAATACTGATTGATTGATTCATTTTCTACGGCTTATCAACCTATTGCAGGTTAATTAAAGCCAGAAAAATATATTTTAAATTGTAAGGATTTATTTCTTGGAGATAATAATAGTTTAGTGATTCAATTCTTACTAATTAATCTATAAGTGGGGGGAAATTAGGCAGATTCATACATTTCCCAATGGTATTTGCGCGTAACTGAATATAAAAAAAAAACACAACGGGAATTGGAACCCGGCTCTCCGATAAAGACTTCCGAGCCATTATCCATTACACCAGCCGTACATCCAAGCTTACAGCCCCTGTTATTCCCAAGCGGTCACGTATCTAGGTACTGACCAGGCACGACGTTGCTTAACTTCGGTGTGCAGGTGTTTCAGCTGTAAATCCTAGTAATCAAAATAGGATTAAACATCTATTGCAAGAAGACAATGTATGAGTGCAGGCAGATGGCCAGTGCAGGACACTAGCTATGAATTTGGAATATCAAGATGTAAAAAATTAAATAGCTTGGCAGTATTTTAACAGAACACAATTGATGTGACACCGAAATTCAAAGGCGTATTGGACTAAGAAAATATGGCATCGAAAGGATAAACAATTTATTATGAAACAGGTAAAATTTATTATAGAGAATGAACAGCGTACTCCCTAGCTATATAAAATCAGTGGCAGTGAATGATGGACAATTTCTTCAGAAATAGACGAAATTTGAGACAGTAGAGTTCTACAGCAGAGGATAAAATGGACGGAGCATGTGACTATAAAGTGATGGAAAGATGACGCTTATGCTTAGAATACGTAAAAGGGAGTTGACATTTCTCGGGAACATATATGAGAAAAATGGCATGGACAATGTGAGACTCACATAACTTAATGGCGGCAATTTGATCTGAAGAACCAGCGAGTAACCTGTTTAACAAGGATGTGCAAATGCATGGCTGAATTTGGAGGGTGGGGGATATTAAAAAGCAAACAGCTACACGGGATAGGATATTGTGGAAAGCCCACGCCTCGAAGAAGCATTTCGATAGATGTAGAAATATTTGAAAATTTAAATATTCATTGAACACATAGTTATTATATTGATTAGTAATATATATATATATATATATATATATATATATATATATATATATAATATCACGACGTCATGATAAGTATATATTTTCTCTGATAAGATTTGAAACGTAGAGGAACAGATTTCTTAGAAATTGTCGTGATATAATCTTTAAAAAGAGCGGACATGGAACGATAAAGCCACAAGACGCAATGGATTTCTGAGTATGAAGTATGAAAAATATGATAAAAAAACGTTATTAAAGAGAGAGAACAACAAAAAATCAAGAATTAAGAAGAAAGATGGTAGAGAGTGACATTCGATTGTCAATGCATATCGAATGGTAGACTTAACATATGTAAGATAGATTCTGTCGAGAAAAAATATCTAGTACAATACAGTGCATCAGATATCCTAGCATTAGACCATGCTATTGATCCAATATAATCTTTCAACTTCATATCAGTGGATAACGTTTGTA